AAACAGACTAGAGAGGTTAGAAGAAGAACGTCTTATGGACATGCCTTTCGATGTTAGTGAACCTCAAGTTGAAGGACACGACGGCTTTGCCAGATTCTACTGGAAACATGACGAACAATTGCATCCTTTGAGAAAAAAAAGGTAGTGCAGAGGATGGTCATGCTCCCATGAAAAGAACAAGATATGCATATGAGAAGTACCGTGAAGTTAGAAGTCAAATTACTTCTGGTCGAACCTTTACAGTAAACTTTGACGAAGGAAAGAACAAAGAAGGCTTCATGGGAGTACTTGCTGCCATACAAGACGGAAATAAGAAAGGACACAATCTCAGATTGACCATAACAGATTTGGATGGTCACATTTACTATGCATATGGCAATGTCACAACAGCTGCAATGCTTCTTGACGCTTTCAAGACTACAAAGAGAGAACAAATGGTTGACTCCGACTCAGACATTTTGAATGCAATTGAAGGAATTGCAAGTGTCAAGTTCGAATGGTACCAACCTAACCCTCAAGCAGTCAGACAACATGCTGGACCGTTGGGAAACTTGTTTGTTAGATGAGAAATATGAAATGGCATACCATTTTAAAACAATATATTTTTACATATATTAAATGCTTCAGGTTGAAAAACAAAGAACAAAAGTAGCAGATACAAAACCGTTAGACTATATCTATACAAATGCTGGTAGGACTATTTCAGATGAAGAAATTTCATCCCGAGCATACAGGTTTGACTATCCAGTTCGTTGGCTTCAAAGTCCTTCAGATGCAAAGGCAATAGGATTTAGAAGAGTTTTGTTTTCAAATAGAACTAACGCGTTTATGTTCGCAGTATATTTTCATGGGCAGTATAAAGGTTCTGATGGTCTAATAGACAAATTTGACGAAATGAGAATCTTTACAGTTCGTTCAGACGAAAGTCTTGAGAAAACTCTAAATGACTTTCAAACTCAAATGAACAAATATTATTGGGAATTTCAAGAAAAATACGACTCTTTACTAAATGGAACATACTATCTGAAACTAGAATATGACAAGATGAACTCCACCGTTTCATTTCAAAAGATCGAAATTAACCCTCCAAGAGATACAGAGTTTTTATTTTGGAAAGTAGACAAACGTTCTTGGGCACAATTTCTTCGGTTACTAAACCAGAACGAACCATTACCACCAGATGGTCCATTTAAATTTATACTTCCACCAGCAGATTTGACAGTTTATAGAAACGTGTTTGACCCTCAAAATGTTATGTGCCATGCAAGTTTCAGTTCAAGCAACAATAGTTTTCTATGTATTGGCAAGGACTTTTATGACTTTGCTTCTAAATTCTACGAACCACCTAGTAACAGTTTCTCTGACTTTCAAGTTTGGTTCACAACAAATGGTGTGCAACATATAATACCATTGTACTATGACTTTTATCTCGAATTGTCTTTCATATACAACTACGGAAAAGTGCTGAAAAAGTGAGTTTATGTTAGCATGTTAGATCTCACCTCTTTTCTCACCTCTTTTCTCACCTAATTTTTCACCCTCTTGAATTTTCATGAATTTCCTTAAGATAGAAAAAAAGTGAGTTAAAATGAGATGTTTACTGAAGGGGTCACCATGTCACTCGGTCACTCGGTCATTTAACATCTTTTTGAAAATGGTGACAACATGACATTTCGACAACAGTCGGGAAAATGTCAAGACTTCTTCATCGCAATGAGTGTAAATGAACCAAAAATATATTTTAGGGTAGCATGTTAGATCTCACCTCTTTTTTCACCCGTTGAATTTTGTATAAAAACCAACCGCCGGAATTCCGGCGGTTGCTATATTCTTCACAAAATGCTTGTTTTGAGGTCGAGCCACTTTTGGCTTCACCTCTTTTCTCACCCTCTTGAATTTTCATGAATTTCCTTAAGATAGAAAAAAAGTATTGAAAAATATATTTTAGGGTAGCATGTTAGATCTAACACGTTTTCTAACATTTTTTCTAACATCGTAGAAAACTCATGAGTTTTATACAGAATTCGGCAAAAATATATTTTAGGTGAAGAGGTTAGATCTCACCCGTTTTTTCACCTGTTTTTTCACCCGTTGAATTTTCATGAATTTCCTTAAGATAGAAAAAGTATTGAAAAATAAAGTTTATGTTAGCATGTTAGATCTAACACGTTTTCTAACCACTTTTCTAACATCGTAGAAAACACACAAAACTCATCTAATGGCTCGATGTTGTCCATTGTACTTTTTCAGAACAATACTTGCACTGCTTCAGAACAATACTTGTACTTTTTCAGAACAAGACTTGTACTTTTTCAGAACAAATTTCCCGTAAAAGCTCTCAATTTGTGAGAAAAATT